AGTTTCCCCCTTGATATGTACATGTAGCATCTAAGTTTTCTCTTCCCCCTTAGGAGGTTCCAACAGTTCATGTCTGTTCTTCCCCACTGCCGTGTGCAAAACACTCAAATACCTACAGTTGCTTCTCACTCCCTTTTACTTAACCACTTGCACTCTCATTCTGGGGCTATTGCAATTTACACTAATGGTTCTAAATCCTCTGACAGTGTTGGGTTTGCAGCAGTGTTCCCAGACACTGTTGTATGTGGTCATTTATTAGACTCAGCTAGCATCTTCACAGCTGAACTGGATGCAGTTTTCGTAGTGATTATCCATTTGTTGTAGTCTCAGACTCCTTTAGTGCTTTGCAAGCTATCAAAAAATTTAATTCACCTCATCCCCTAGTTCTTAGTACATATACAACTTTTGTTGCTCTACATTTCTAGCAGAAGCAAAGAAATTGCTTTCTGCTGGGTACCTGGGCATGTTGATGTTCAGGGCAATGAGCGGGCAGAAATTTGTTGTGTGATTAGTGGTACACGACCTTCCAGTTTCATATAGAGATATTCTATTCTCAGATTTTCCTGTAATTCCCAGCCACCTTTGCAACTGTTGGCTACAACGTTGGTCTGACTTAATTCATAACAAATTACACATTATCAAGCTGAGCTTAGGATCCTGGTTATCTTATCATTGATGCCATGGTTGGGAGATTATTCTTTCCCATCTTCACATCGGGCACACACGTCTCACTCATGGGTATCTCATGGAGACAGTTCCATTCTGTGCAAATTGTTAGTTTGCCATATTCTGTTGGACTGTCCAGGGAGCATGCAAAATTTACCTTCGACACCTTGACCACTCTAATGTCCTTATTTTATCTTCCCTCCTTGCTGACAGCTCCACCTTTGATACAGACTCCCTCTTTGACTTTTTGACAGCGACAGATTTGTTACCCAACCTTTGATTATATTTCCTTTAGCACTCTTTGCTGACCTTACAACCCCTACCTTGCAGCTCTGTATGACCCTGGTGGTTTAACACTTAGTTTTGATTATAATAATAATAATAATAATAATAATGTATGAAAGTATAGTAGTACCAACACTCTTATATGGGTGTGAAGCTTGGGTTGTGAATGCAGCAGCGAGGAGGCGGTTGGAGGCAGTGGAGATGTCCTGTCTAAGGGCAAAGTGTGGTGTAAATATTATGCAGAAAATTTGGATTGTGGAAATTAGGAGAAGGTGTGGAGTTAATAAAAGTATTAGTCAGAGGGCTGAAGAGGGATTGTTGAGGTGGTTTGGTCATTTAGAGAGAATGGATCAAAATAGAATGACATGGAGAGCATATAAATCTGTAGGGGAAGGAAGGCGGGGTAGGGGTCGTCCTCGAAAAGGTTGGAAGGAAGGGGCAAGGGAGGTTTTGTGGGCGAGGGGCTTGGACTTCCAGCAGGCATGCATGAGCATGTTCGATAGGAGTGAATGGAGACGAATGGTATTTGGGACCTGACGATCTGTTGGAGTGTGAGCAGGGTAATATTTAGTGAAGGGATTCAGGGAAACCGGTTATTTTTACATAGCCGGACTTGAGTCCTGGAAATGGGAAGTACAATGCCTGCACACTAAAGGAGGGGTTTGGGATATTAGCGGTTTGGAGGGATATGTTGTGCATCTTTATACGTACAGTGGACCCCCGACATTCGATGGCATCGACATTCGATAAATCCGACATTCGATGCATTTTAACCCTTTGACTGTCGCAACCCCCAATCCTGAGGTGTCTCCTGGTGTCGCAAAATTTAAAAAAAAAATTATTTTTTCTTATGAAATGATAGAGAATCTTTTCCCAATTGTAATGACACCAAAAAAAACATAATTTGATGGAAAACTGACGGAATTATGCTCTCGCGAAGTTAGCAACCTCGGCGCTGTTTACAAATAGGCGATTTTGCCCACTTTGAGCCCTATTTTCGGCTAATTCCATTGTTCCAGTCGCCCAAACTCATAGCTATTTCTTTAGAACTCCATTTTTTCTATCGATTGAGTACAAGAAACTGCCCATTTACCGATTTCAACTAACTAATAATGTGGTCAGAAATTTGCAATTTGGCCAATTTCACGAAAACTAAAAAATATGACAATTTCAAAATAAGGTCCAGAATGAACAATGTAGATATTCCTGGCTCTAAAATAACATTTTCTTTGCTCATCAGTCATGTCTCCAGGCCCCTCTGATATTACTCTTGCTTTCTATTTTGAATTTTTATTCAAACAAAAAATAGAAGACTTACTATTATGCAGACTACTGCAATACTGTAATAATTGTATAAATAACATCAACCCATTCATGACTGCATATTAGAATGGCTAGTTGGACATTTATTGGACAATGGCATCATTTGTTTACTTTTGAACATCGGCAAAAATCAAACATTTCCCCTACTTTGAGCTCCATTTCTAGATTCTTTTTATAGTAAAATCAGTCAAAATCACCTCTATTTCTATAATATGTTTTCCATTATATCAAATGAGACCAAGAAAATGAGAATACAACCATAAATACTATACGAAAATAGACCACAAAGTCGGCATTTTAATTAAAAAAAACTCTGAGTTTTTTTTTTCTCATTATGCACTGCGTGCTCCAGGATTTTTTTTTATATGGTGCACACTGACCACACAGACCCATTCTCTCACATGTGGGCCTACCAGCTTTCTCCTGCTTGATTTGAAGCCGCTAGAATTTATGAGTATATATACGTCAAACACAATACCTCGTAAGACATGTATATACGGCCGCGACAGTCAAAGGGTTAATGCAAAAATTTCGCTTCGACATTCAATCGAAACCCGCTATTCGATATGATTCGTACGAGACGTGTCCACGTGTGGCCTGAACTGCCCCGTGTGTGCCAGTGTTTACAAGCCAGCCAGTGTGTGCGCATCTAAGGATACATTCGGTACATTCCATATTACCCATATTATCACTGTTTTTGGTGCTTGTTTCTGCAAAATAAGTAACCATGGGCCCCAAGAAAGCTTCTAGTGCTGGTGACTATTACACTGACAATGTTATGAACCACTTTAGGAAAGTCATAAAGGAACGAGAGGTACAGGCCTCTATGGACAGATATGTTGTGCGACAGAAGTCCAGTGACTCTCAAGCTGGTCCTAGTGGCATTAAAAGAAGGGAAGTAACCCCGGAAAAAGACTTGATACCTCAAGTCCTAATGGAAGGGGATTCCCCTTCTAAACACTAACACCATCCACACACTCCCCTCCTCCCATCCCACCAATCATCACCAGATCTTCATTAAAGGTAAGTGTCAATTATTCTATTGTTATTAATCTATTGTTATTGTTGTTATTGTAATTATTCTATTGCATTGAACTTAATATTTCATGTGGTAAATTTTTTTTTTCATACTTTTGGGTGTCTTGCATGGATTAATTTGATTTCCATTATTTCTTATGGGGAAAATTAATTCGACTTTCGATATTTTTGACATTCGATGAGCTCTCAGGAACGGATTAATATCGAATGTCGGGGGTCCACTGTATATGCTTCTAAACTGTTGTGTTCTGAGCACCTCTTCAAAAACAGTGATTATGTGTGAGTGAGGTGAATGTGTTGAATGATGAAAGTATTTTCTTTTTGGGGATTTTCTTTCTTTTTGGGTCACCCTGCCTCAGTGGGAGATGGCCGACTTGTTAAAAAAATAATAATAATAATAATAATACAAACTAAGATGGTAATGAAAAAGCCAGTTTTTTTCATTACACAATATATTGTGAACTTATATAATGTGCATTATTATTATTATAATTACAACCAAGGCTGTACAGCTCCGCAGGGCAGGTGGTGTTGCTGGATCAGAGAGTAACAAGGTTGGGGAGGATAACAGAGGTAGAGTTAGAAAGGGCTGTATTATTAAAGGAAGTATTGTTAAAGTTTGTGTAATAAATCAGTTGCTGTCAAAGAGGGAGTCTGAATCAAAGGTGGGGCTGTCAGCAAGGAGGGAAGATAAAGTAAGGGTGTTAAAACGATGATGACATCTGAGGTAAATTCTGTATGCTCGTTGATAGATAAGACAGTCCAAAAGAGTGTGGCAAACTGAAATTCGAATCTGACAATTCTCACAGTGGAACAGGGCACCTCTCCATGAGATTCCCATAACTGAGATGGGTGTGCCTGATGTGAAGACAGGAGAGCGTAGTCTCCTAACCTCAACATCGATGACAAGAAGGCCGGGAACCTAAACGTGGCTTGATAGAATGCAATTTGTCACGAGTCATATCGGACCGACGTTGTTGCCATCGGTTATGAGGGTAGTTGAGAGATTACAGCAAAATAGTTTGAGAATGGAATACCTCTATATGAAACTGGGAGGTCATGTACCACTGACAGTGCAGCAGAGTCCGCCTGTTCATTGCCCTAAGCATCAACATGACCAGGGACCCAGCAAAAAACGATTTCTTTGTTTTTTCTAGAAATGCAGCGTAACCAGAGTTGTATATGAATATATACTGTGCAGAGGTACAGTATATATTCATTATGAAAACATAATACATGTAATGGATTGGGACTAACCATGGTCCATGTTAGTAAGCCAACACTTACCATTCTTGTAATTATATGACTGAGGGATTTGAGAACAGATGTGCCATGAAAGCTGTGGGGGAAATGGGATGAGACAATAGCATCAGAGTTGGTGGTGACTAATACAACCATATCGCAGAAGTGCTAGATGTAAAAGCATCCTTTCTCAACCTTCTTAGCTACATGGTTACAGTGTTTTTGCCTGTTACTTGCATGGACCTCTCGTCGAGTCTATCCCTTATTCTGTTTATTCACTGGCAGTCGTTCATTATGACTTGGGTTTGTATTAGGTTATTTTCAGTTGGTAACTACAGTGTTTGCAGTATTTGTTATTACTTACCTTTATATTAGCAAGAGGAATGAATATAAAATGACACATTGGTTAACTTTTATTACTGATTATTATTATTCTTCTTTATCAGGTGTGGATTAGAGTACAAAATAGGAACATTCTTCCAAGGTCAGCCTACACCCCTCTCAGAACTTTGCCAAGGTGTGGTGTGTCGATGGGAGGAGATAAAACCATGGCTGAATGAAAATAATCTTACCTGCAACCTTAGTAAATTGTGCATGATGCATGATGAACTCTAAGAAGAACTGACCATGCTAAAGGCATATAATATATAATAAAGCTTTATAATATAGTTGGCAATTTTGAGGTTTGCATTATGTTATGTTGGGCATATATGGACTGATTAATAATCCCAAATCATAACAGATAATGGAGAATAATAGAGATTCCTCAAGAAGTGTGGAACAATGCATTGCCAACTAGCTTATGGCATTATGAAGCAATAGTATATTCTTTGAAGTACATTACAGATAATGGCCTGGAAAGCCTTAAATATGTGGGTTGAGAAACCAATTTGAAATGTGTGCAGATATTGGCTGTCTCTATTTCCTCCTTAGGCTTCCACCTTGACCCTCAGGTCATTTCCAGTGGTGTAGCCCATTGCCTCCTGGACACCCCTAACTTCACTGAATAAAAGTGTATTTTTGCTAGTGCATTGGCAACTGGCCTCTAAGGTCTAATTAGCTCTGGTTCATAGGGAAAGAATGCAAGACATGAAGAGGTCAGTGATATCACTGCCTTGCCATCATCTGTTGCGTATCACTAAAGCTAACTAGGCAAACTCTATGGTATCCAGAAGTGTCTAGATCTAGAGAATTGCCATACTACCCTGTGGGACTACACCTGTGCATCTTTAATAGCCAACACTTACCTTTTATACACTGAACCTGAATATGGTGCCTCCAGCTTCAAGAAGACCCTTGTTATATACTGCAGCTTTGTTCCAGTAGGATTAAAGATTATAGGTTCATAAAAAAATGCATGTTAAAGCCCCTGAAAGAGTTATGTAACAAACTTGTCAAGGAAACCAACGACCCCAAAGCAACCACCTTCCTTCTCCAGAGACTGTGTGGCAATTCAGAAAGGAAATGCCTGCAATATCCTAGGAATGAAGCTCCTTAGGTAAGCTAAATAAAGTTTTATGCTGTTGTGCTATCCTCATTCCTAATACAGTGGTACCTCGAGTTTCAAACAGCTCCCAACTTGAACAGTTATGTAAATGTATTTTTGTAAGTGCTTTTGTAAGTGTATTTTTAGGGGTCTGAAACGGACTAACCTAATTTACATCATTCCTTATGGGAACAAATTTGTTCAGTATCAGCACTCAGCCTTCTGGAATGAATTAAGTTCGTAACTTGAGGTACCACTGTATATCCATTGAAAGAAAAGCTCTCCTTAGAATTTCTGTACTGTAGTTTAATATTCATTATTTCACATAGCTGTCCTTGTGCAGGACAGACAAAGGCGTTTACTTTGAGGATGGGTAGCTGTTGTAGTTCCTACATATTCAGCAAATGCTCACTGATATTGAATGAGAATGATAATTCCACAGCCAATATTAAGGTGAGTATATCCAGGAACAGTAACAGGCTTGTCTATAATTTTTAATTTTGCTGGGTTATCTGCCTGAGTAGCATCTTTAACCTGCACTACACTTCACTCATTGTGGCTATGGAAAGTGACCCCTTAGATCAAGAGCTGTCAAGATTGCTTGGCTTGCTTTATTAACACACAGCACATCAGAGGCTGCACACATCAAAAGTTGCACTGGAATGAATTGTAAAATTTCTTGACTAGGTTTGTGCAAAATACATAATACAGTGGCAGTGGTACCCAATGCAGAAACTTCTCATGATTATAATGAGGAGGCTTCTTGAGGGAAGTTCCCTGATAACAGTGAGGGACTCTTGATCCAAAGAATTGGATTGACTCTGATTCCCTCCTATTCTCCAAGATGTGGAGGTTGAGAAGTTATCTGGTATGGGATCTAAAGCAGCAGTTGTCTTGATTGTAGAGTGAGGGAAATGTCAGGTATCTCAAGGACGACTTACAAAGCTTTGTAAGTTAGGGGCCTGAACCATGGCCAGGAATTATTAACAATACTCATAAAACAGTAATCCCTATTGCCCTACCCATCATCAATAGAAGGGAGGCTTAAGCATTTACTAAAACAAATGACCCATGGCTAATAGAAAGACATAAGAAGTGACCAACAGTGGAGACAGTGATGACTGAAAGGGTACCTGTCATTTGATACCCACTTAGCATTAGCAAAATATACTGGACCACCACCAGACAGTGAAGAGAGAGGTCCAATTATTATTCTAATCAAATTAAGCACTAAACCCATAAAGGTCACATAGTGCTGTGAGAGATATGCAAAACAAGCCAATTAGTAATTCAGTGGAGCCAGCAATGACTCTCCAGCTTGACTTCTATTTTCTCACCAAAGAATCACATATCCCACCTGATGGCCAGAGTTCCAAGGGCAGGCTTAACTTCCAAGCAAGTGAAAGCAAGGAGTATACAGGTCACTATGCAAGTTAAACACAACAGGTCAGTGCTTAGTTTAGCCTTCATTTGTTGTGGCCACCCCAAGGGAGCCAAAGCATGGCCACATCAGCAATGATCATAATCCTCTCACCACTTATGTAAAGAAACTGTTCCACCAGAGGGTCCTCTTGGAAAGCCCTACCTTTCAACAGTTTTGATTTAGTACATTTCTGCTCCCTGTTGTCAATTCTCTTCCGCCATATGACTCGCACAGGCTTGACACACTATTTTCAGTATGATAATTCCCAAAGTGTCTTGCACAATTTTCTTCAACATGGTTATGAAAAGCTTATAAGAATACAGGTATAGAAATTTAAGCAGTGAATGACTTGTATGACTTTAGTGCATTTGCAAATAACTTCATTTCTGAAGGAAAGTAAAACAAAGCATTTCAATGTGAGTTAAGATTCTTGTAAAAATAATCTATATAATTATATACAGTACATGATTAGGTGCAACAAAATATGACAAAAGCCTATCACTGATAATGGTAAAATGAACATATGATTTGTTAAAAAATGTCACCATTACACTTCACAGGGGCTCAAGGTATGAGTTTACTGATCACTATGAAAGATGAGTTTTGTATAGTATACCCAAATATATATAAAATTAGAATAGTAAGTTTGCTGCTAAATAGTTCATAGGCTGTGCTGAGTGATACGTTCATAATGCTAAAAAAAAAAAAAAAAAAGAAATGAGAGAGTATGTATGGATGTGTAATTGTATGTGTGTGTATTAATTTATATTTCAACATGCTGGCAGCCTCCCATCAAGGCAGGGTAACACAAAAAAGAAAGACTTTCATCATCATTCACATGTAATCAGTCATTGTAGCAGCACACAGATACTACAGTTCAGATGTCACTCCAAACAGCAAATATCCCAAACCCCTCCTTTAAAGTGCAGGCATTGTACTTACCACCTCCAGGACTCGAGTCTGGCTAATCAGTTTTCCTGAATCCCTTCACAAAATATTACCCTGTTCACACTCGTCAAGTCCCAAAAACCATTTGTCTCCACTCTTATTTAACATGCTCACACATGCCTGCTGTATGTCCAAGTTCCTTGCACATAGAAACCTCTTTTACCCCCCTCCAAGCTTTTCTAGAATGACCCCTTACCCTCTCCTTCCCTCCACTACAGATTTATAAACCCTTCAAGTCATCCTATTTTTGCTCCATCCTCTCTAAATGACCAAACTGCTTCAATAACCTCTCCTCAGCCCTCTGAATAATACTTTCAGTAACTCCACACCTAATTTCCACATTACAAATTCTCAGCATAATATTTATGCCACACATTGCCCTTAGACACCACATCTCCACTGTAACATTCACAACCCATGCTTCACACCATATAAGTGTTGGTACCACTATACTCTCATACATTCCCTTCATGGATAATATTTTATTATCCACAGATACCTCAATGCACACAGAGCAGGCATGTGCGAGCCTGTTAGGAGCGAGTAGAAACGAATGGTTTTTGGAACTTGACAAGGTGTTGGAGTGGGAGGAAGGTAATATTTTGTAGAGGGATTAGGGAAACTGGTTAACTGGACTCAAGTCTTGGAGGTGGGAAGTACATTGCCTGCACTCTAAAGGAAGGTTTTGGGATATTTGCTGCTTAGAGTGACATCTAAACTGTCGTATCTGTGCACCTCTGGCAAGATAGTGAGTTTTATTTTCTGGTCGCCCTGCCTCGATGGGAAACTGCCAGTGTTGAAAAAATTTTATTTTTATTTTGTAACAAAATTGTGTCTAGAACCTTATTTTCTTGATAACAATGGTACTGGATATACCTCTGATAGGTTTTGAGAGTACATCAAGTTTTATAACCTGTCCATTTGGTTAATATACAAATTTTAATACAGCACATAAGTATTTTATTTTGCAGAGAATTAAAAGGGACAAATTAAGTGAACCATCCCTCTTAGGCAGTCAGACGAGATAGTTAAAAAATTTCATAATTGTTTAGTATCGTGAACTGAAAAAATACCAATGTGTGCAAGCTCGAAAATTAATATTACCATACTATGAAATAATGCTCACATCACAGTTTTAAATTAAATGTTAAAGAAAATCTTTGTTCTTTATATACATTCAATATACTGGATACACTTGTTAAATATATGTATTAGCCACAGCATAACTATTTATCCCAATGAATGAAGAGGAATTTAAGGTTTGACTACACTTGGGTCATTAAGAGCTTTATCCCAATAAAAAAAAAATACTGTACATGACTTGAGTATCTTTTGTTCCATTATAAAAACTTGACAAATTTTGTACTACAATATGTACATTTATTCAACGAAGTGTGTAGCATACCAGTTTCAGAAAAAGCTGCATTATTTGCCATCCTAACATGAATTTAATTTTTTCCTCATTACAGACTACACATGCTTAAACAAGTGAAAAAAAAATTCTCAAATAGTGAAGGTACTGCAAATCTTGAGGGAAAAAATTCTCAACATTTATTTTTTAACCTGATACTTATACCAAAGTTGAAATTACATACAGCACAGTGTTTGTAAAATTTAGATTATTTTAGTGCTTCTGTAATGTTTTTTATTATAATAATCCCAAAGGTGAAAACTATGTACTCTTGTTTACTAAGCATGGTCTTAAGAAATTTCTATTTTTCATAGTTGATTATTTCTTTTAGGTACAACTCATGATTCACAAAATTGTAATAACAATGCTGGACTGAGTTCTAGGTCTCTCTGGCCTACTTGTTCCATAATTTCTTTTAGTTATAGGTAATCAGCTAGTTTATAGCTCTTGTAATATCAGCTTCTCGTCAGAGGGCAGTTTCAAATTACAGTGGAACCTCAGTTTTCATATGCCCTAGTTGGAGAAAATTCTCTATAAAATGTATTTTTTGTTAATATTTTTGGGTGTCTGGAACAGAACCAATTAATCCGTTCCAGACACCCAACAATATTAACAAAAAATACATTTTATAATGTACATTTATAATATACATTTTATAATGTATTTTTTGTTAATATTGTTGGGTGTCTGGAATGGATTAATTGATTCTGTTCCAGACACCCAAAAATATTAACAAAAAATACATTTTATAGAGAATTTTCTCCAACTACGGCATATGAAAACTAAGGTTTCACTGTATGTACAAAAGATAATTTAAAAAGAGATGTGATCAAGATTCTTTCAAGAAGCCTGTTAAGCAAGTGGTGACTTGCTATCCTACTTTGAAGAAACATGCAGAAGTCATCAGGAATACTGCTGAGTCAGTCTTCAAAAATAAAAGGCTTAAATGTGATAAGGTAACAGTATTTGGGCAAAGTTTTCATATATTACCTGCTTTAAATGTAGGAAAACAAGACAATGTAGACAACAGTAGTAGTTAAAGAAAAAATTATTATGTACCTTTCAAAGGAGGTGCCATGCCAGTGAAAGGCTCTTGATCCAAAGAATTGAAGCTACCTTCCTTTCCTTGGATCAAATTAACTGCCTTCCATTCTCATGACCCCTTAGTTAGTTTAGTGCTACCCCTTTAAAATAAAAGATATAATCTATGTATTTGAGTAATTCATTTTTCTTAGATGCCATCATAATATTGAAATATTATTAACAGGTGATAAAAATGTACAGTAATCTCTCTCTATTGCATCATTAGTCATTAACCAAGAGTGATTTTTTAACAAAAAATTTTTTGTGATATGATCAGCCTACCACAATTAAAGCTATTTTATAGGATACTACATACCAACTAAATTAATTACTGTATGTCGTAGCAAAAAATTTAAGTTATTTAACCCTTACTGTCCAAACGTAGATCTACGTTTTTTCGACATTTGAAAACGTGTAAAAAAACGTAGATCTGCTTGGACAGTTTAAGGGTTAATAAGTTGCACAAAACAATTTGTAAAACGAAAATAAATTTTTCAAACTCAATATTTTATAATGTACTGTACTCGAGATAATGAAAAAAACTATTGACCAATTTGAAGATTTTTTTTTAACATCATTGTCACCATAACAGTGGAATGACAGTAAATATAGCTTAATCATGAAAGTGTTAAGCTGAATGCTATTTAAAGATTAAGCTGCCTTGTACCAGTAACCCTCCCTGTTAAAACATAGAAGCACCATTAAAACACTTAACAATGGGAATGTATTGGTAAGTGATGCGCCATCATGTTGTACAACCTAGTGAGAATCTTAAAACATTGAGAAACATACCTCATGTGGCCCTACATAATACCTCACGTGAATTAAATTACACTATTGCATCCAACTCTTAAGAGATTTTCCTGCAATGGGAGATTGTACTTGGCCTCCTCCTGGAACCAGAATGGAGCACACTTTCACCACTGTACTAAACAATGGCCACACAATGAACTATGACTGCTTTTGGAAACTGAAAATCAACTGAACAGCTAGACTTATTTCAATTCAAAATATGAGTCGATTGTTTACTAGTCAATTGAAAGTTTTATAATGGTCACTAGCCATTCAATTGATTATTTAACTTTCCAAATGTACAACTGACTACATATCTTTCTGTAACCTGAGAAGTCTTCCTATGTCCACTGCTTATGTAGTATGATCAGCTATTTTATCCCTTAGGTAATGATTTAAGGATGAATACAGCAAAGGATTAAAATAGTTGACCCTGTCATGGGCATGTGATCCACAGTAACTTTTTAAACCACATTTTAATTTCAGCTATACAAAACTGAATTTGTAGCAATGAAAATAGTGTCACTTGGACTTCATTTAACAAGATATAAAGTTGTTCTTAAGTAATTATCACTTACATTTTTACAGTCTTTCAGGAATCAAATTCGTACAACACTGAAATTTTGTTTCCCTTCTCTACGTGGCTCCTGCCACTCTGGACCCATAACTAATGGATTGATAGATTGCACTGGCACAGTACTTTACATTACCTCATGATAAATCACATTAGCACCAAAGCATTAATACCTTATAGTCTGCATATATGATGATTTTCATGAGGATTTGTCAGAAAGCAAATGTGTGCACTCGCTGAATTAACGAAATGCACCCAAAAATAAATGAAATAGTAAATAAATGGTGTGTGTAAACTTCACCGAAGTCAAAGGAGTCTATGGCTAAGACTTTCACAACACATTTTAACTGCACAGAATTATTCTTGCTGCCTGCAGGGTCTCAAAAAGCTGCACTTAAGATCAGGTAAAAATGTATAATGAAAAATCTACAGAACAAATGTGATCTTTTTCTTCCTCAACCTACAATGCACTGATTTTTCTTGACTACAATGAAAAGTTCCTTTTCATTCATCATATTCAAGCTACTTGCAGCACAAGTAAATTTTTCAACATTAGCAATGCAGTTTCAAAATTCATTGCCAAATTTCCACTTGGTTAAATTTCAAAACCAACATACTTGCCTTAGGCTAAGTCAGATGTCCTTCGTGCATCAGAAAGAGTAACTTGTATTACAATTTAACATCACTTATTTTATCACAAATTTTTTTTATGAATAATGTCTGTATGACTATCTCGTAAGACACTTGCTAATTGCACACTCGACAGCTTCCTGGATGTTTATGAAAACAGGGATCCCATCCTTATTAGCCTGGTCAGTGAGGTAACTTCTTCCCCTGTTGTAATCCTTCAATGCCGATCTTGACAACTGGCAACATAAACAGTTACTTGTTAGTGAGAGTGAGGAAAAGAGAACTAGTGTGAGTGAAAAAGTTTGACTGAGTCTTACCCATAACTCTTCCAATAATACCTCTACCACACAGCTTACCCAGTATACTCAACAGTATTAGTCCCTTATAATTCTTGCTCTCATTTATCCCCTTTTCAATTACACAAAAGAACTGCATACATCCTCTTTGCCAATTCCTAAGTACTTTCCTACCTTTCATACATACACACACACGCAGTAGGGCCCCACTTATACGGCAGGTTAGGTTCCAGGCTACCGCTGTAAAGTGGACCACACCTTTTTTCCACTTGCTATCTAGTATTTGTATGCATTTACAAGTTTACACTAACATATATTAAGTTAGTAAGTTTATTCAGATATACACAAATGCAGTTACATAGATAATCATACATAGCAGCATATGTGTAAAGTACCTAGGTTAACCCAAAAAAGTCAGTGTGACTTATTTCCATTGGGGTTAGCAGTAGAACTAGGCATTAAAAAACAATAAAAAAGTAAAATACACACATAGTACACTCATTACTTACCTTAAAATATTTGTAGACTTAATCTAGGGTGAGACAAGTAGTATTTATTGTAAGAAATCAAGTGTGGTATGTATGGTAGCCAGCCAGGGTACCATACAAGGCCACCCCATCCACATATAATATTCTATAACATTTAAGCATCCCAGAGTGATAAAATGCATATACAGTTCACTCATTACTTACCTTAAAATATTTGTAGTCTTAATGTAGGGTCAGAGGTGAGTAAACGAGATAAAACAAACAAATGAGAGCGAGAGAGTACATGAGAGAGGACACTCGTGGAGTTATGTAAACAAACAAAGTGTACACATCTGGTTTGTGTACAAGTTGTGTCTACGTTGATACGGTAGAATAAATAAAGAGGAACGCTCCCATTCTCATGTAACACCATTTTTTAGAAGAAATGACGCTCTGAGTGAAGGCATATGAAAGGAATAATTTTCTATAGTTACCCCCAGTAACACGTTTTCTCTTACATTGGACTAGAGAAAACATTATTCTTTTTTTTTTTTTTTTTTATTATCACACCGGCCGATTCCCACCAAGGCAGGGTGGCCCGAAAAAGAAAAACTTTCACCATCATTCACTCCATCACTGTCTTGCCAGAAGGGTGCTTTACACTACAGTTTTTAAACTGCAACATTAACACCCCTCCTTCAGAGTGCAGGCACTGTACTTCCCATCTCCAGGACTCAAGTCCGGCCTGCCGGTTTTCCCTGAATCCCTTCATAAATGTTACTTTGCTCACACTCCAACAGCACGTCAAGTATTAAAAACCATTTGTCTCCATTCACTCCTATCAAACACGCTCACACATGCCTGCTGGAAGTCCAAGCCCCTCGCACACAAAACCTCCTTTACCCCCTCCCTCCAACCCTTCCTAGGCCGACCCCTACCCCGCCTTCCTTCCACTACAGACTGATACACTCTTGAAGTCATTCTGTTTCGCTCCATTCTCTCTACATGTCCGAACCACCTCAACAACCCTTCCTCAGCCCTCTGGACAACAGTTTTGGTAATCCCGCACCTCCTCCTAACTTCCAAACTAACGAATTCTCTGCATTATATTCACACCACACATTGCCCTCAGGCATGACATCTCCACTGCCTCCAGCCTTCTCCTCGCTGCAACATTCATCACCCACGCTTCACACCCATATAAGAGCGTTGGTAAAACTATACTCTCATACATTCCCCTCTTTGCCTCCAAGGACAAAGTTCTTTGTCTCCACAGACTCCTAAGTGCACCACTCACTCTTTTTCCCTCATCAATTCTATGATTCACCTCATCTTTCATAGACCCATCCGCTGACACATCCACTCCCAAATATCTGAATACGTTCACCTCCTCCATACTCTCCCCCTCCAATCTGATATTCAATCTTTCATCACCTAATCTTTTTGTTATCCTCATAACCTTACTCTTTCCTGTATTCACCTTTAATTTTCTTCTTTTGCACACCCTACCAAATTCATCCACCAATCTCTGCAACTTCTCTTCAGAATCTCCCAAGAGCACAGTGTCATCAGCAAAGAGCAGCTGTGACAACTCCCACTTTGTGTGTGATTCTTTATCTTTTAACTCCACGCCTCTTGCCAAGACCCTCGCATTTACTTCTCTTACAAACCCCATCTATAAATATATTAAACAACCACGGTGACATCACACATCCTTGTCTAAGGCCTACTTTTACTGGGAAAAATTTCCCTCTTTCCTACATACTCTAACTTGAGCCTCACTATCCTCGTAAAAACTCTTCACTGCTTTCAGTAACCTACCTCCTACACCATACACTTGCAACATCTGCCACATTGCCCCCTATCCACCCTGTCATACGCCTTTTCCAAATCCATAAATGCCACAAAGACCTCTTTAGCCTTATCTAAATACTTTTTCACTTATATGTTTCACTGTAAACACCTGGTCCACACACCCCCTACCTTTCCTAAAGCCTCCTTGTTCATCTGCTATCCTATTCTCCGTCTTACTCTTAATTCTTTCAATTATAACTCTACCATACACTTTACCAGGTACACTCAACAGACTTATCCCCCTATAATTTTTGCAATCTCTTTTATCCCCTTTGCCTTTATACAAAGGAACTATGCATGCTCTCTGCCAATCCCTAGGTACCTTACCCTCTTCCATACATTTATTAAATAATTGCACCAACCACTCCAAAACTATATCCCCACCTGCTTTTAACATTTCTATCTTTATCCCATCAATCCCGGCTGCCTTACCCCCTTTCATTTTACCTACTGCCTCACGAACTTCCCCCACACTCACAACTGGCTCTTCCTCACTCCTACAAGATGTTATTCCTCCTTGCCCTATACACGAAATCACAGCTTCCCTATCTTCATCAACATTTAACAATTCCTCAAAATATTCCTTCCATCTTCCCAATACCTCTAACTCTCCATTTAATAACTCTCCTCTCCTATTTTTTAACTGACAAATCCATTTGTTCTCTAGGCTTTCTTAACTTGTTAATCTCACTCCAAAACTTTTTCTTATTTTCAACAAAATTTGTTGATAACATCTCACCCACTCTCTCATTTGCTCTCTTTTACATTGCTTCACCACTCTCTTAACTTCTCTCTTTTTCTCCATATACTCTTCCCTCCTTGCATCACTTCTACTTTGTAAAAACTTCTCATATGCTAACTTTTTCTCCCTTACTACTCTCTTTACATCATCATTCCACCAATCGCTCCTCTTCCCTCCTGCACCCACTTTCCTGTAACCACAAACTTCTGCTGAACACTCTAACACTACATTTTTAAACCTACCCCATACCTCTTCGACCCCATTGCCTATGCTCTCATTAGCCCATCTATCCTCCAATAGCTGTTTATATCTTACCCTAACTGCCTCCTCTTTTAGTTTATAAACCTTCACCTCTCTCTTCCCTGATGCTTCTATTCTCCTTGTATCCCATCTACCTTTTACTCTCAGTGTAGCTACAACTAGAAAGTGATCTGATATATCTGTGGCCCCTCTATAAACATGTACATCCTGAAGTCTACTCAACAGTCTTTTATCTACCAATACATAATCCAACAAACTACTGTCATTTCGCCCTACATCATATCGTGTATACTTATTTATCCTCTTTTTCTTAAAATATGTATTACCTATAACTAAACCCCTTTCTATACAAAGTTCAATCAAAGGGCTCCCATTATCATTTACACCTGGCACCCCAAACTTACCTACCACACCCTCTCTAAAAGTTTCTCCTACTTTAGCATTCAAGTCCCCTACCACAATTACTCTCTCACTTGGTTCAAAGGCTCCTATACATTCACTTAACATCTCCCAAAATCTCTCTCTCTCCTCTGCATTCCTCTCTTCTCCAGGTGCATACACGCTTATTATGACCCACTTCTCGCATCCAACCTTTACTTTAATCCACATAATTCTTGAATTTACACATTCATATTCTCTTTTCTCCTTCCATAACTGATCATTTAACATTACTGCTACCCCTTCCTTTGCTCTAACTCTCTCAGATACTCCAGATTTAATCCCATTTATTTCCCCCCACTGAAACTCTCCTACCCCCTTCAGCTTTGTTTCGCTTAGGGCCAGGACATCCAACTTCTTTTCATTCATAACATCAGCAATCATCTGTTTCTTGTCATCCGCACTACATCCACGCACATTTAAGCAACCCAGTTTTATAAAGTTTTTCTTCTTCTCTTTTTTAGTAATTGTATACAGGAGAAGGGGTTACTAGCCCATTGCTCCCGGCATTTTAGTCGCCTCATACGACACGCATGGCTTACGGAGGAAAGATTCTTTTCCACTTCCCCATGGACAATAGAAGAAATAAAAAAGAACAAGAGCTATTTAGAAAAAGGAGAAAAACCTAGATGTATGTATATATATATATGCATGTGCGTGTCTGTGAAGTGTGACCAAAGTGTAAGTAGGAGTAGCAAGATATCCCTGTTATCTTAGCGTGTTTATGAGACAGAAAAAGAAACCAGCAATCCTACCATCATTCTTGCCGTCACTAATTTATTTATTTATTAACAATTTGAGCATACATACAGAGGTACAAAAAAATACAGATAAGAGCAGCATGCCAAAGCCACTTATACTATGCATAGCATTACGGGCTGGCTGGCTCCCACATCTCATATTTATGTTTATTTATTCTACTGTGGCATGTATTTATTATCTTTAAGGGGGGAGGCGGGCAATTTTCCGCGCGCGCTCACCGAAAAATCAAAAAAATATGGAAATTGAGTTATATATACTGAAAAATAGCTCAACTCTTTGGCAACACAATGGTACCAGAATGAATGTTCTACGACGTTTCTACAAGAAATTATAGTCATTTATATCAGGTATGGTGACGGCGATGTTGGTACCGAGTCTGCTCACGGCCTATATATTTTTTGGAGTTATTTTCTTGTTTTTTATCGCCTTTTTCTTGCATTATTCTTTCTAATATAATAACTGACTATTTGGCATCATAAAACAGTAGGTGGAGCTTATCGGCAGACTTAGTGACTACCGGGAACCAGACGGGAACGCTCAGCAGTGTTCCTGCTCCCGAGGTGCCAGCCAGGAATCACCCATTATTTCGCTTATATCAGCTTATATATCAACTCTACGGCTTATTTGTCTATCAGAATTGATCTAATATGATAATATAAACACTCTAAATAACATACAAACATGTTATATACTCTAGACTGAATAAAATAGGCCATAATATGGCCCAGAGATTATCGGGAATATTTCGATATAAAAGTGTAACTGGTCACCCTGTCGTCTCTGAGTAAGAGAAAACGGTGTTTAGAGGCTAACTGCACTAGAACATCAGTTTACTAAGAAATACACCCAAACAAACGCGATTTTCGCGAAAAAAATTTTTTTTTTTTTTTTTTGAGACGGGGGCCGGCCGGCGTTCCCGGCCGATATCTCGGAAGTAACTTATTCACCTATAATTTGATGTGGTCCTTTATTACTTAATTAAATGGAATAATATTCACAGATATTGTAGAATAATGATTTCTCTTATTTTGACCGTAGAATTTTTGAAATATTCCAAATACTTCGGGAGTTATGTGGAAGTAAAGGGCAGATTTTTTTGCCATATTCCAGATACTAACAAACTTTATTTTTTTGTGAAATAACGATAAGGTATTTAGAGGGAAATCTTACGGTCCGAATTAGTATTAGCATTGTTCTCTCGGCACCAAGTGTCCAAACCACCTTACGTAGCCGCATATAAGAGTTACATCAACATCAAGGGCATTTTCAGTAAATCAGTCTTTTCTCAGTTGTTGTTTGAGGTATATTTTTTATAAATATTTTCAAGAAAGAGTGAGAACACTTTGTCTTGTGCACCAAAACTGGAGAAAATCGGACGGTAAATAAACGAGTTACGAAATTTGCCCTGTAGCCCCCTTAAATGCTATGTATCATGTTTATTATATAATTTTTAAAAAGATATCATAGCTGGATTAATAAAAATGTGTATGTTTTTTTTTTTTTTTTCAACAAGTCGGCCGTCTCCCACCGAGGCAGGGTGACCCAAAAAAGAAAGAAAATCCCCAAAAAGAAAATGCTTTCAAAATCATTAAGCACTTTCACCACACTCGCACATTATCACTGTTTTTGCAGAGGTGCTCAGAATACAACAGTTTAGAAGCATACACATATAAATATACACAACATATCCCTCCAAACCCCTCCTTTAAAGTGCAGGCATTGTACTTCCCATTTCCAGGACTCAAGTCCGACTATATGAAAATAACCGGTTTCCCTGAATCCCTTCACTAAATATTACCCTGCTCACACTCCAACAGATCGTCAGGTCCCAAGTACCATTCGTCTCCATTCACTCGTATCTAACACGCTCACGCACGCTTGCTGGAAGTCCAAGCCCCTTGCCCACAAAACCTCCTTTACCCCCTCTCTCCAACCCTTTCGAGGACGACCCCTACCCCGCCTTCCTTCCCCTATAGATTTATATGCTTTCCATGTCATTCTACTATGATCCATTCTCTCTAAATGACGTATATGTATTAACGTAATATACGACATTTAATGAGACTCGGTGATTATTATTATAATCATTACTAATATGGCGTCACTCGTATAAGTCGTCTGGCTACCACTTCTCATATTTATGTTTATTTATTCTACTGTAGAGTGTATTTATTATCTTTATACGTTATGTATCATGTTTATTATATAATTTTGAAAAAATATCATACATGGATTAATGAAAATGTGTATATTAACGTAATATACGACATTTAATGAGACTCGATGATTATTATTGAGTATTATTGTCATTACTAATATGGCATCTCAAGACATAAGACACTCTTACTGATTTTAATGTGAACCTGCATGCCAGCACAGTGTGTAAGTTTATTTCGGTACAGGTATACGTAAGTATAATTATTAGAGTATATATAAAATATGAAATAACTTTTAAAAACACTTGAAATTTTGGAGTTTCCAGACACAATGGAGAGACATGGTGATTACGGAGCTCCTGGAGAATGTAAACAAACAGGGTGGGGTGCGGTGACCGTATTAGAAAGTCAGGTGGGGGGAGCCGTATAGAGAGTTTAGGTCGTAATTTGAAATGACCGTATCAGTGGAATGCCGTAAAGCGGGGACCTTCTGTGTATATATATATATATATATAAAATCTCACATGCACCAACTACTGAAAAGCTTTATCCCCACATCCTTTTAAATATTTCTGTCTTAATTTCACCTGCTCACCCCTTTTATTCTACCCATGGCCTTTTGCACCTTCCCCATACCCAAAACTGCCTTTTTTCTTCCTCAACATTCAACAACTCATCACAATATTCCCTCCATCTTCCCTCATGTTGACTGATAAATCCATTTTTTCCCCTAGGCTTCCTCAACTCGTCGATCTCACTAAAACATTTCCTTATTCTCGGCAAATTTGTTGCTAAAACCTCACCCCCTCTCAAATTAGCTCATCACTCTTTAATCTCTCTTGCTTCCTATATACTCATCCTCCATATATCACTTCTACTTTGTAAAAATGTCTCGTATACCAACTTTTTCTCCCTTTCCACCCTCTTTACCTTGTCATTCCACTTATCACTTCTCTTCCGTCCTATAACCACAAACCTCTGCTACACACTAGCACTACATTATTCAATCTACCCCATACCTTCTTAACCTGCTCATTACCTATCCTCCCTCTAGCCCAACTTTCTCTCAACAGTTGTTTATACCTTACCCTAACTCCTCCTTTAATATATAAGCTTTCACTTCTCTTATTCACCGATGACATTCTCTCCTTTTACCCTGTCTCTAAATACAAGCACATGTAGAAGTCTACCCATCAATCTTTTATATACGAATACAATCCAATATACAGTGGACCCCCGGTTAACGATATTTTTTCACTCCAGAAGTATGTTCAGGTGCCAGTACTGACCGAATTTGTTCCCATAAGAAATATTGTGAAGTAGATTAGTCCATTTCAGACCCCCAAACATACACGTACAAACGCACTTACATAAATACACTTACATAATTGGTCGCATTCGGAGGTAATCGTTATGCGGGGGTCCACGATACTGTTATTGTTATGTCCTACATTGTATATTGTGTATTTATTTACCTTCTTTTTCTTAAAATGCTTATTACCTATTACCAAATCACTTTCTACACATAGCTCAATCAGAGACCCCCATTATCATTTACCCCTGGCACTCCAAACTTACTTACCACATCCTATGTAAGAGTTTCTTCCACTTTAGCATCTAGGTCCCCCACAACAATTACTCTCTCAATTCGTCCAAAGCTCCTTAAGCACTTGCTTAACATCTAAAATTTTTCTCTGCAATCCCCTCTTTCCCAGGTGCATAACAACTTACTATTACCCACTTAATACCAGCACTAATTAAAACCGTTTTTTAACTTACCCTTTCTCCATTAACAAGTGATTCATCCGTTATCATCTGGACACACAATACGACATTACAACCAAGCCCAATGTAGTGAGAGGCCTGGAAAAGTAAAATCAGCATTTCTAAAATGTTGATATTTAATTTAATAAAGGTAAGTAACAACAAATTAATTTTAAGGACAGGCCACAGGATTTGATTAGTTAGCAAATAAAACTGTAAGGAATGCATGAAAAGTGACAATGAAGAGGATCAGGTGATATCTGTTTATTAGTATGATAATAAAAAAAGCCAACTGACAGTTTAACAAGTCACATGGAATTCGGAATGCCTGTAAAACATGCTAGTTTTTTAGATAATGCTAATTAAAGAAGGTATTATGAAAGGTTTAGTGTCTGAATATCTTTAACCTCTTTTTCTTAAAAGTACTTTTTCATTCTTTCCATGCAAGCACTGCCCAGTTTTGTGAAAGAGGGAAATAGGGTAATGATGATACACAAGGTTAACAAAATACTGATCAGAAATAAACAATGAAGAATATGCAGGCTAGTCATGAACTAAATAACCTGACAATTAAATGAACAATGCTCCAGCATTTATTTTATAAGAAAGAAAAGTCTCTCAGATTATAAATAAAGGTAATTCATATAAAAATTAACAGAATTACAAATTAAAAATTTAATGAAAACTTCAAAATTTCTTTTGTTTTATTCAAACAGTCATTTTCCACCAGAGTATAAAGAGTAATTCTTTTCATATAAATTCTGACTATTAAACTTACCAGTGCCATGGCTGAGACACCTCTGGTTGTGTTAGTGATGACAAAGAGCAAGACTCTTGAATGCTCCATCAATGCAGCTTCCATAGGCAGCAAACGTCCTGAGCAGGCACCTGCTGCAGGATTGAAATATGACAACCCATGTTTCAGGAGCATAGGAATGGCAACAGTTTCACGCCATGTAACTCTATTACCCATAGAACCACCTAAATAGATGTCTCGACCACCAGTATTGCTGATTTGTCGTAACGGTCTGCGTGGAAGCGCCCAACCTGTTCGATAAACACTTATTATCATTCAATATAATTACAATTCATAATTCTGATGAAAAGTGATTCCTGATATTTATTTTACTCTGGTGTATAAGGGTTTTGCAAATATAAGTATTGTTGCACATATCAGAGAACAAATAAGTAATAAGTTTTAGGATAAATGTAGTTCAATTTTTCAGTATTTAACGAGAACCATGCAAATAAAAAATGTACCTTTTAAGTGCTCAAACTGATAGTGAACTTACCTAATACCTTCTGTACAGAATGAGTGAAGACGTCCCACAGTCTCCGGCTTTCTAGATTTTGGTTTTTAAATTCGGCAACTATACAGCATAATTCATCGAATGTTAGATACACTTCATTTAGTGGGAGCTCTGCACCATTTAGTTCTTGTATATTCTTACCTGTTATGTAAAAAATATATAAATACAATTCAAATGTGAAAAGTAGTAACTGAACACAACTCTGACATCAATGTACAATAGATGTAATTCATTCTATTGTGTTATCTGTGTAAATAGCAAAGATAATCAAATGTAAAAACTCAAGACCAAATAAGCATGTCTTAAGTCTGCAACAGAACATATTACAGATAGCATTATGTGCCTATCTATATTCTGTATTCATACACTATTACTGTATTTTAGAGTACAGTGAATAATCTCATGGACCATATCACTATTACACAGTTACTGACAAGACTATCTGTAATAATAGTCAGTAGTTTAGAATAGTATTCTATTGCAGTACCTTTCTTTGCAGCAACAATATCCCGAAGCTCCTCTGTAGTTAGATCCTTATTGGTCACCACCTTATAAACTACACGAGCCTGAAAATATTAAGCAAAAATAAATAAACAAATACACACACACAAATGCACATGCATGCACACACATACACAGTGACTACTATATATATTAGGTACACCTGCTGTTAATCCAAATATCTAATTGGCCAATCATGTGGCAGCACCTCAATGCCTAAAAGCATGCAGGTGTGGTGAAGAGATTCTGTTGTTTTGCAGACCAAACATTAGAATGGGAAACCAATGTGATGTAAGTGACTTTGACCATGGAATGAATCTTAGTACCAGATGGGCTGGCTTGAGTATGTCAGAAACTGCGGATCTGGGATTTTCATGCACAAGTCTCTAGGATTATATGGAGTAAAATAAAGGTTGGATGTGATAAGTGGGTTATAGTAAACATTTATGCACCTGGAGAAGAGAGAAGTGTAGAGGAGAGAGAGAGATTTTGAGTGAGTGCATGGGGGAGTTTTGAATCAAGTGTGAGAGTACTTGTGGTTGGGGATTTCAATGCTAAAGTGGGTAAAAATGTTGTGGAAGGAGTAGTAGGTAAATTTGGGGTGCCAGGGGTAAATGAAAATGGGGAGCTTTTAATTGAGCCAATGTGTAGAAAGAGGTTTGGTAATAAGTAATACATATTTTATGAAAAAGAGGATAAATAAGTATACAAGGCATGATATAGCATGTAATGAAAGTAGTTTGTTAGATTATGTATTGGTGGATGAAAGGTTGATTGGTAGCCTTCAGGATGTACACGTTTACAGAGGGGCAACTGATATATCGGATCATCATTTAGTTGTAGCTACAGTTAGAGTAAGAGGTAGATGGGACAAAAGGAAAATGGAAACAAGTAAGAGAGAGGTGAAAGTGTATAAACTAAGGGAGGAGGAAGTTAGGGTGAGATATAAGCAACTATTGGCAGAAAGATGGGCTAGTGTAAGTATGAGTAGTTGGGGGGAGGGGGGTGAAGAGGGTTGGAATAGTTTTAAAAATGAAGTATTAGAATGTGGGGCAGAAGTTTGTGGTTATAGGAGGGTGGGTGCAGGAGGAAAGAGGAGTGATTGGTGGAATGATGAAGTAAAGGGTGTGATAAAAGAGAAAAAGGTAGCTTATGAGAGGTTTTTACAAAGCAGAAGTGTTATAAGAAGAGCAGAGTACAGTATATGGGGAATAAAAGAAAGGTGAAGAGAGTGGTGAGAGAATGCAAAAGGAGAGCAGATGATAGAGTGGGAGAGGCACTGTCAAGAAATTTTGATGAAAACAAGAAAAATTTTTCGAGTCAGATAAAAAAGTTAAGAGAGCCTAGGGAACGAACGGATTTGTCAGTTAAAAATAGAGTAGGGGAGTTAGTAGATGGGGAGCTGGAGGTATTGGGTAGATGGTGGAAATACTTTGAGGAAGTTTTAAATGTCGATGAAGAAAGGGAGGTGGTCATTTCATGTATAACATCTTTTAGGAGTGAACAAGAGCAAGATGTGTGTGCGTGAGCATGTTAGATACTAGTGAATGGAGACTAATGGTATTTGGGACCTGACGAGCTGTTGGAATGTGAGCAGGGTAGTAATTAGTGAAGGGATTCAGGGAAACCGGTTATTTTTATATAACCGGACTTGAGTACTGGAAATGGGAAGTACAATGCCTGCATTCTAAAGGAGGGGTTCGGGATATTGGTGGTTTGGAGGGATATGTTGTGTATCTTTATACGTATATGCTTGTAAACTCTTGTATTCTGGGCACATCTGCAAAAACAGTGATGTGTGAGTGAGGTGAAAGTGTTGAATGATGATGAAAGTATTTTCTTTTTGGGTATTTTTCTTTCTTTTTGGGTCACACTGCCTCAGTGGGAGACGGCCAACTTGTTAAAAAAAAATTTTTTTAACAAGTCGGCCGTCTCCCACCAAGGCAGGGTGACCCAAAAAGAAAGAAAATCCCCAAAGAAGAAAATACTTTCATCATCATTCAACACTTTCACCTCACTCACACATAATCACTGTTTTTGCAGAGGTGCCCAGAATAAACAGTTTAGAAGCATATATGTATAAAGATACGCAACATATCCCTCCAAACCACCAATATCGCGAACTCCTCCTTTAGAGTGCAGGCATTGTACTTCCCATTTCCAGGACTCAAGTCCGCTATATAAAAATAACAGGTTTCCCTGAATCCCTTCACAAAATATTACCATGCTTACACTCCAACAGATCGTCAGGTTCCCAAATACCATTCGTCTCCATTCACTCCTATCGAACATGCTCACACACACTTGCTGGAAGTCCAAGCCCCACGCCCACAAAACCTCCTTTACCCCTTCCCTCCAACTTTTCGAGGACGACCCCCTACCCCGCCTTCCTTCCCCTACAGATTTATACACTCTCCATGTCATTCTACTTTGATCCATTCTCTCTAAATGACCAAACCACCTCAACAACCCCTCTTCAGCCCTCTGACTAATACTTTTATTAACTCCACACCTTCTTCCATTTTCCACACTTCGAATTTTCTGCATAATATTTACACCATACATTGCCCTTAGACAGGACATCTCCACTGCCTCCAACTGCCTCTTCACTGCAGCATTTACAACCCAAGCTTCACATCCATATAAGTGTTGGTACCACTATACTTTCATACATTCCCTTCTTTGCCTCCATAGATAACATTTTTTGTCTCCACATATACCTCAACACACCACTCACCTTTTTTCATTCATCAATTCTATGTTTAACCTCAAACCTCATCCTTTATAAATCCATGTGCTGACACGTTAACTCCCAAATATCTGAAAAAATTTACTTCTTCCATACTCCCTCTCTCCAATGTGATATCCAGCTTTTCTTTACCTCAATCATTTGATACCCTCATCACCTTACTCTTATCTATGTTCACTTTCAACTTGCTACTTTTACACACCCTCCTAAATTCATCCACTAACCTTTGCAACTTTTCTTAGAATCTTCCATAAGCACTGTATCATCAGCAATAAGTAACTGTGTCAACTCCCATTTTGTATTTGATTCCCTATAATTTAATCCTACCCCTCTCCCCAACACCCTAGTATTGACTTCTTTTACAACCCCATCTATAAATATATTAAACAACCATGGTGACATTACACATAGCTGTCTAAGACCTACTTTTACCCTATATATATAAAAATAAAATCCACATAAAAATTAATGTCTTTAAATAAATGAAGCAACAGTTTAAAAGTATTTTAATAGTTTAAAATAGATATATAAATCATATTACAAGAGTCAACATTTGATAAGGACCACATACCTCTGCTAAAGTTATTTGCTCTGAGTTTGTATTGACAAAGGCATCATGCAGTTTTCTGAAAAGAAAAAAAATAACTTATGTACACATTTTATTCTCTCTATGATATGAACAAAAATTCTCCACCTAACAATGAATGCTTAGACAAACTTTAAAACTAATCAATTATCTGCACTTCCTTTTCAAAATAAATTAGCTGTACTGAGTATAATACAGTGGCTTCCTGTTTTCTTAGAATTCTTTGTCCTGCATTTATGATAAAATGACCCATTTCTGCCATTCACACCTTTAACCCAAAGTTCCAACTGGTTAGAAAGAGAGAGAAGAAACTGACAAAAGGTGATTAGTAAAAGATGACATCAGTCTGTTAACTACAGTGGTACCTCAATGAATGAATATGTAAAACATATTCCATTTGCTATGAGATGTTGACTGTTGCATACAAAGAGTATGTACCCTTTATTTGGAGCATGTGAACACACTCATATAAGACTACCTCCCAACCAGAGAACCAGGTAGCTAAGGATTTAATGATTTCGGGGCCCCCATCGCCAAATCAGCACCTAGGTTCAGTCAATCATATTGTGGAACTGGCAACTGTGTGGGTAACATGGACACCACTCACATTCTCACCCTTGTCATTTTCACCCAGCTGCTGGTTGAACATGGTTGTCCATTCTGTCTCCGGGCTGTGTCTTTGCCTTTGTTAACCGTGTTGTACAAATACATTTCCAACTGTATATAGTGTACAGACTTGTAAATATTTATAATAGAACTTGGTGAAGGAAAATATTATTCAAAGTCATTCAGCTGTGTTTGTTCTGCTCCTTGTTCCCCTTTACACCCATGATAACAGGCCTTATTGTTCCTGGGTTGTAATATTGACTGAGGATCATAGTTCCACATCTGCATCATAAAAAAATTAAGAAAAGATAAAATAGAGAAAGAAGGGGGACTAGGGAGAATCAGATAATGCTTTTACTGGTAGACAGGAAGAAAAGACATGATAACCACATAAAAGAATATGAGACAACAGATAAGGAAGACTTCTTAGCACCACCAATAACAGAAAGCTCCAACAACAACTACTGTATTTTTCTCTCTCCCAATGATCTCCGCAACCTTCTCACTATTTCTCTTGAAACTGCTCTCCTTAATTTGGTCCTACACTATATTGCCTCACAAACAGCTGTGCTATTGGTAAATGGAGACTAGAAAATATTTCGTCATAAAAAACGGTAAATTAATGGACTGGGATCTAAAAGGAAATAGTGACTTCTAAAATTGATGGTAACATTGAAGAACACAGCCTCTTCTCACTTAGTGATGTACTCGTTTGCCGACGAGTTGGACTTATAATGGGCTCTCTGACCAGAATGCATACCTAAATAATGTATATTAGAGCTGATTTCCTCTATTCTGTTTATTACAATATACGGTACACCACCATATAAACATTTAAAAATATACTAGAAATGTTATAAATGGTGCAAAGGTGACACTAAAACAGCATCAAAGATAGCCGACTCAAATCCACTACCATTATAGTATGCTCCTCACTTAGAGACGAAATCACTTACCGACGTGGTCTTAGGAATGGAACTCCGTCGTTAATTGAGGAAAGGCTGTATATGAAAAATTAAATAATGAAAATAGGGACAGTGCTCCTGTGTCTACAAATAAATAAGTAACCTACCCCCTAGTCAAAGAGTATCACAAAAGACTGTTCTGCCTAATATTTTTATCTTAAACCACACGTTTTTTTAATTTACCCTTGCTCAACTGTCTTTACCAAGCATCACTCCCAGTTCCCTAGATACAACTGCAATTTTAACTCTTATAATACTTCCTATATTCATTTTACTGTAACTACTACTACTATTGTCCCTCTGCTGACTACCATTCACTCATAACAATTTAAACCATATTTTGTCAAATGTACTATAGCTTATCTTTTCCTTGTCATTAGTGTCATCAAAAAAATATTAAAAATTACTTTTGATGGTACAAATAAAACCTTGTTAGAGAAAATAAAACAGAAGTCAAGAGAAGCAATGTAGATTTTAGACTTGTATTGAGGCCTTAATATGAAGCTGAAATATATAATAGTCTTACATTATATTTTATTTTCTGTTGATTTGTAACACTGACCAGTGTTTGTTACACTACTGTAGAGTAAACCCTTGATTTAATGGACTTCAGAGTTATGGGACAAAATCTGCTGGGTCAGTTGCCTCGGGTACAATGAACAAAGTCCACTGGCTACAGAATTGTATAGTATGGCAAATTATCCATATACAGTGGAACCTTGACTTACGAGTGTCCCAACTTATGAGTTTTTTGAGATACGAGCCATCCCTGGGTAGATTTTTTGCTTTGAGTTACGAGCCAACATTTGAGTTACGAGCCAGCTCTCCCTCCCTCTTCCCCCTCAACCCAAAACCTGGACACCTCGCTTGTTTATCTTTGATTTCATGCTTTAATTCCATGGAAATCATTATCTTTTTCTTCTCAGCAATAATAATAATATATATATTATTACAGTCAAGTTACTCAATAAGTCAGTCAAGTCATTCAGGTCATTCAGTAAGTCAGTCAAGTCATTCAGTAAGTCAGTCATTCAGTCAGTCACACAAACTCATGTTAACCTCTGTTTCTGTGTACAAAGTAACACTTGTTACGGCTACAGGTTATCTCGTCTAATATCTTTGTTAATTCTAAGACTTAAGTGCTTATACCTCTTTGTGCCACTTTCAGCAACACTAGTATGGCTACTGGGTGTCATGATTGCTTGGCAGATACAAGATATAGTAATTAAAATATCATAACACAATTGACAAACACAGCTGCCTTGTAGCAGAGAAAGACTGACAAGTATGAATTAGGAATGCTGGGATGGTGGGGGGTGGTGTCGGGGAGTGGTAGGGCTCCCCGGATGCTCTACAACAAGGTGGCCGCTTGAGCAAAAGAGAATTTTTTTTTCCTTCCCACAAACTGAACCATGTTAAATTAATTATACATGTTACATAAAATTGTGCACCAATTCTTCAATAGCGGTCTACTGTATTATTTATTTATTTTATTTATTTAATTTGATAGAGCTTCAGTTCCCTAAATTAATAATAATGCATAATATGTACGTAATAATAATTCAGATTGCTTCTGCTAGTTGGCACAGCTGATCAGCAGTAAACATGTTTACATCCCTGTGGGGGGCAGTTCTCTAGTGCTTGTTTGCATTTTTTTACAGTCATTTGGCCAAATTTCTTTTGTCTAATGATGGCTCCTAGTGATCTACTGCAGTTAGCCTCAAAAATACTGTTTTCTCTTACAGTAAGAACATGGGAAGATACTATAGTCAAATTGTGACAGAAATGGCTGACGCTTCTGCCACTGCCACTTCCTCTGCCACCATAGTATGGCTATTTTATTCATTCTCGAGTGCATATCATGTTTCTGTGCTAATTAGTGTATTGTTTATTATGTCATATTAGATGAATTGTGATAGAAAAATAAGCCGTTAAGTTGATAATAGCGTCATATTCAAGTATTTTTTTCTCATCTCTCCAGAGTGCAGGAACGAATTAATGGCTTTTCAATTAATTTAAATGAGGAAAATTAATTTGATATACACGAGTAAATCGAGTTACGAGCTAGCTCCTGGAAGGGATTAAACTCGTAAGTCAAGGTTCCACTGTACATCCAAAACTAGGCATATTCAGTGAGAATATAGCCATTTTCAAAAACTCTGAATAATTAATTTGTTTTATACATGAAATAAATGATACAGATAAAAAAGCTCAAGTAATCAATGAAACATACTACAATATATGAAAAACTTACATAAGTTTATCACCCAACTGGAGGTAAGGGTATTTAATAGGCTGAACATGATCCTCTGCACCCAAATCTTGAGGGTGAAGGTTTTCTCTTAATATCTGTTAACAAAAAATTTTTAAATTACAAAATCTATAAAAAATTTCATATTATATACTACAAAATATAAATGGCACAATGGCAAAAACTCACTAAGTTGTGCATTATTAGCTTAATGAATTCATCCTAATAAGACTGGAAATGAAATATTTCTCACAGAGATATGCATTAGCCTGTTTATATAAAAGCAATTTCACAGTGTATTGTCTGAATCAAAACAAACATATTAAAAGTGATTCAGTGTTTTTAATTGTTCCCTCACATTACAGTACGGATGAAGCCACATAACAGCAATTAATGAGCAAAAGCTGTTGTAAAACCAAAGTTATGATAAAATAAATTTTAGGCTATAATACTTATGCCTTGATAGGATACAGCTGGTTTGTTCAAAGAAAAGAATACTTAATATTCAACCTAGGTGTTCTGACACACACCATATCTAGACCCTTTTCATAATTCTCAGCAAAAACTGTTTACAGGTGTCCCTTCATAGGACTGAACCAACAAAAGAATAATCCTGTTGAATTATCATGACTGAGTCTGTATTCTTTCTTATCATTCCTTCTTAGTGATAGTGTTAGAGAAACAATGTTAAAAAATTCATCTGGTTGGGTATTCATATTCTTTTGGCACAAGATACTTGAAATGAAAACCAACAACACGAGTTCATTCAAAATAAGCTCATCGGAATTACCACTTCCAAATTTATTTTTCTTTGTGCTAAATCTTTTAATATAATTCAAATGAAAGGGATATTTAAAGAGATAGTAAAAAATCAAGTGGTACTGAGTTTAGGTGATCACACATGAACAAAAGGCACATCGCACAGTGATCACCATTACACTTACATAAGAACATACTTTTACCACAAGGAATTCCTGGTAGAAACAGGGTTGACTCACATGAGCAAATTCACACAAATTGCATCCCCATAAAGTGAGGGGAAACTTGTACATCATAAGTCAAATCAAGTAGTATGACTGCTTTACATATTTATTATTAAATTTTTGTAGACGATATTAAAAATAAAATATATCCTCCCTATCAGCTAAATAGCATAACTTAACTTATGTGAATGTGAATATCAGTAACTCACCTTAGCTGTACAGTTGAGCGCATGATTGATTTCACCAAAGACTGGTATTCCCTGACATTCCACCACATCCTGAACTGTATGAAGGCCATTCGTCAGATCTTCGTATTCTCTGAAGAAAAAAATTCATTGAGGCCTTTGAAACATTTGTTCACACTCTAAAGCAACAAAAAGTAAATTATTTACTTTGATTATAAAGCAAAAATGGAACAGACCACACATATTTATCTTCTTACCTCATACTATTTACCCCTTAAAATGTCCAAACGTAGATCTACGTTCGCACAGGTAGAGCTCTGAACGTAGATCTACGTTCGATTTTACATTGTTTCTTCTGTAAAAAAAATGTAGATCTACATTTGGAGCCCTACGCATGCAAACGTAGATCTAAGTTTGGACAGTTTAAGGGTAAATGAATACATCAAGGTTGAAAATTCTATAAAAAAAAAAAAAAAATGGCCCTAGTGTGAAAATAATTTGATATGCAATTGCAAAGGAGAATGTTACCATAAAACTGTGCAGACAAACAACTCCATCCCTCAATCAATCCAAAGAGACATTTTGAAGTACAGTATTAATCTTTAGGTACTAAAGATACCTAATAAGAAATTTAAAGCACTGTACTGTATCCAGTACCACTTTAAAGGAGGGGTTTGGAGTATTGGAAGCTTGGAGGGACTTCTGACTGTCATACCTGACTGCCTCTGCAAAGACAGTGATTATGTACGAGTGATGGTGAAAGTATTTTACTTTCTTTTTGGGTCACCCTGCCTCAGTGTAGTGTGACCTAAGTGTAAGTAGAAGTAACAAGATGTACCTAAAATCTTGCATGTTTATGAGACAGAGAAAGGAAAAGACACCAGCAATTCTACCATCATGTAAAACAATTACAGGCTTCCGTTTCACACTCACTTGGCAGGATGGTAGTACTGCACCTCCCTGGATGGTTGCTGTCTACCAACCTATCACCTAGGATACTTTACTTACCTTAAAGTATTTTTGTCCTTAGTTTATGCTGATTGGTGAATACATTTACTGTAGGAAGCCTGAATAAATGAAGAATGGGTATAACTGAAAGCCACTGTAAAGTGAAGTGTTATAAAGCAGGGCCCTCCTGTAGTGTTCTGACAGTACATATATAAATAGCCTGCATTTAACAGTACAGAAAAAACAAATATTTTTGGACTAACTGGATATCCTCCTCAGGCAATCGTCTGAGGTTAGGGCATTGGCTTAAGCCAGTAGGAGACTTGGACTTGCCTTGCATGGGCCAGTAGGCCTGCTGTAGTGTTCCATCTTTCTTATGTTCTTATGTCTCTGGTCACACTGAATATATAAGCATCTTTTCTGTACTATACTGTAGAATGTGGGCTATGTCAGTGTATCATTCATTTGGTCTGATAGTTCTTCATATCTACTGTTCATTTCATACAAGTGAAATTTCATGCACAATACTCACTGTTCAGAAATAGCTTCCCCATTGATGAGCTGTCCAGGGCCTGTGTAGGAATCCATGACAACCACCAGTTTGCGACGGCACCCAGCCATGTACGCTGCTTCAATCATGGATGCAACATTCCGGGTATTGCGGTCAAAAACAAAAAACAAAACTGATGCAGTTTGTTTAGCTTTATATTCCAGCTCAACTAATTCTTCTTCCCAATGAGACACTTGCTGTGGATACAAAATATACATGGATAAATAAGAGGAGTTAAACAGTTAATTTGTTGGGTTTAGTGTCTGGAACTTGTAACATTATTCACTTAAAAGTATCCACTGTAAAAAATATGAGTAATGAAAGTACATACTACTAAATGAAAATAGCTGATACATTTATATCCATGTAATGAGAAATACAACAAAATTTAAACCAATCTCATTATAAAAATTCAGGCTAATTTGTTTACAAGATAGAGAGAGAACACAGAAATAAATACACTATACTGTAATTGTACTACAAGTATTTTTATTGATAGGAGAATTACAAATAATATGTATATAAACATCAAGTCAGATCCTTACTGGATTATAGAAAGAAATGCCTTGATCCCTCAGCATAGGAATGGCTACGTTCTGTCGCCACGTTGTAGGGTTGCATGACCCGCCCAGGAATACTTCATACTTAGGAGATGACTCTGCTGAACAGAAAAACAAAAAGAAATAAATCACTTGTGCACTTTGCTTAAAAGTAAACATAACATACATGTATTTTTCCAAAATACAGTGGTACCCCAAGCTTTGTACAGCTCCCAACTCGAACAATTGTGTAAGCACATTATTGTAAGTACTTTTGTAAGTGTATTTTTAGGGGTCTGAAACGGACTAATCTAATTTACATTATTTCTTATGGGAACAAATTCGTTCAGTAATGGCACTCTAACAGCCTTCTGGAATGAATTATGGCCAAAACTCGGGGTACGACTGTACTAATAAACACACAGTAAAGTACTACCAAATAATCTCTTATATGCATTGACATTTCTGCCATAAATTATCAATGTATGTTTATACAAAGCAGCAACATTTTTTTAAGAAGTTGTCATTATCAGAGTACTCCTTACAGTGCAGGCAAGAAAGTTATAACCAAATTACACCAGGAAAATACTGTAATGATGAAGCTGGTTCCAAATTAGCACACTGAAATAGAGTAACACCTTATAGGAGCAAGGGACATGGTAAATTGTGCAAATTAGCTCCCAATGAATAGCAGGAGTGCAATATGCTTACCAAGGAATTCCTCAAACACAAATGGTCCATGGCTTTTCAGCACCTTTCCCTTAAATACAAGGGGGCTTATGTCAGACTGCATGCAGTGAGCATCAACAGCCTCAATGATCAGGCCAGGTCTGGGACCATTTTCAAGTAAACCGTCTATTACACAGAGGGATTACGCATCATAACAGAAGTAATGAAAAGGACGAGTCGGGCAAATCATATGTTTTTGAAAGAGTTGATTATAAAATTTGGTTGTGTACAGGTAACCCAAGGACAATGAATGATACAAAAGAATTACAATAGAACTTCACAGCGCGCTCAGCTCACACATTGAGGTCCGGAGATTGAATCTCCTCTGGTACGGGTGGAAAATATTAGGGACATGTTTCCATAGACACCTGCTGCCCATGTTCACCCATCAGTCCAAAATGGGTACCTGGGTGTTAGTCAACTGGTGTAGGTTGCATCTTAGGACAAAACTGACCTAATTTGCCCGAAATGCTCTGAATAACAAGGAGCTTTTTATGTAGCAGTATGTTCACTGATGTCAGCGAGGCCTGTATACCTTGTACATGTACTTGTAGAAATAAAGATTCATATTATTATTAATAAAATAATTACTTTCAAACTCAAAGTCTAATATACAGTATTCAAAGCTTGGAGTGCTGCCTGTACACCATCAAACAAGAATACAGTGGACCCCCGGTTAACGAACTTTTTTCATTCCAGTAGTATGTTCAGGTGCCAGTACTGACCGAATTTTTTCCCATAAGGAATATTGTGAAGTAGATTAGTCCATTTCAGACCCCCAAACATACACGTACAAACGCACTTACATAAATACACTTACATAATTGGACGCATTTGGAGGTGATCGTTAAGCGGGGGTCCACTGTACTTTAATCCCTAAAATAGTGATTATCTCTGAGTATATACAATGAAATGTACATCTTTTAAAGTACTGTTCTGTATGCACCCTCTACCATATTTAAAAACATCTTAATATTGCATTAACAAAAACTCCAAGTTTCTGTAAAGCAAATTTATGGCAATACGACCAAAGAAGAGGACATGAACCAGTCTAACACTACACTATGATAAATTTCTAAGGTCTTGTTATACAAAGCTATAAAACTCAAATTAATGAAGTAAAAATATTTACCTGACATTTTCCTCTCACTTCTTTTCTTGTCTACGCATGATTTGTCGGAAAGTTTGGAGAGGGGGGGTGGTCTCGGGATCCTGAAGATGATGGATTTTTTAAAAAGTGCCTTTAGTACAATTCTTAATCATTATAGCATAACAAGGGGCTTTCTATATAGTAGTATGTCACTGATGTCAGCAAGGCCTATATACCTTGTACATGTACTTGTAGGAATAAAGATTTTTTTTTTTTTTTTTTTTTCAACAAGTCGGTCGTCTCCCACCGGGCAGGGTGACCAAAAAAAAAAGAAAGAAAATCCCCAAAAAGAAAATACATGTACTTTCATCATCATTCAACACTTTCACCACACTCACACATTATCACTGCTTTTGCAGAGGTGCTCAGAATACAACAGTTTAGAAGCATATATGTATAGAGATACACAACATAAAGATATTATTATTATATTAATATTATTATTATTATTATTTCAAATTGGTACAGCATAATCCAATTCACTATTTGATCTTGTAATACATTCTACTGTACAGTAGTACCTGAGGTGTTATTTGAATATATGGGATATACACTGTATTGCAAATAAAGCAAAGAAATTTTTTCATAATTATTTATACAAAATTCACAATTATTTATAAATTACCATTGTATAATAAACAAAATATATGATATTGCCAAGCTAATAAGGAGTCTACTGTTAACTGACTTACCTTCAGTTTTGTTATGTTTGGGACAGTTCAATTTCTACTTAGAGGTTACACCAATAGATGAATATACTCACTTAAGTGTTCTGTCAAAGTCTTATGCACTGTTTAGTGACCCAGCCAATAAGGAAGTAACTCTTTGACTTCTGATCCAAAAGTTATTGAGGATCAAGTGTCTGGTATGGCACTAAGACACTGAATTGTACAATTATGTATCATGCCCAAATAAACTATATGAATGAACGAATGAAGGGGAGCCATTATCTAAGTTTCACCTACCTACTTGACAAAGCCTTTTTTCCTCCCATGGGTGAAAAACTGTACCATTAGTAAACCACTGTACCAATGAGGCTTCCCTGCATTATAATCTCACCACGTGCTGGCATTTACTCTTTACTTCTGCACACTAAGGGAGAGTACTATATACTAAATGTTAGATTACGTATATTATATCTTTCTTGATGGCTCTGTATATATTGTAGTTTATTACAAATTAATTAGCTGCACATTTTGCTTTTAGACATATCCATAAGAAAAATTTAATACTAACAGGGTGTATTGTAACAACCTGCATATCAATTTGATAATAACCCATATTCTTGCAAGATATTTTAGTGAGACTGTAGTCATAGTAATTTCGTCGGTGTTTTAGTTAGAAATTTCTATCATTGATATAAAACTAAGATACAATTTGAGATAGTTACATGTATGGCAAGAAGTCAAGTTCATCAAATTATTTGCCAGTATTGTGTTGAGTGTAACTGCTTCATGACAGTGAGAAACAGATGTTGAATGTTTATACAACTTTTTATTACCTTCTAACCAAGTACACCTTACCTTACCTAGAAGTATGCAGTTTGCTCATGGTGTTAGTGTTTCTATACTTATGTATGTTGCATGATAAAGTTTTTTCCAGTATTTGTCTAAGTCTTTCTCACCTGTTGACAGTACAAGAGTTTTAGAACTTACAAAGAGTGAATGATTTTAAAATTCTTTAAAGCTACAGAAATAAAACATTAAGCAAATTTAGTGTGAAATGTCAGCTGGAAACCTTAAATAAAAATCCTATTATTTTCTTGCAAGAATTTAACCCTTTGACTGTTTCGGTCGTATACATATGTCTTACGAGCCACCGTGTTTGACGTATATACACTCAGATTCTAGTGGCTTCAAATCAAGCAGAAGAAAACTGGTAGGACCACATGTGAGAGAATGGGTCTGTGTGGTCAGTGTGCACCACAAAAAAAAATCCTAGGGGCACGCAGTGCATAATGAGAAAAAAAAAAAACTCCAACTATTTTTCGATTAAAATGCAGACTTTGTAGTCTATTTTTCTATAGTATTTATGATTGTATTCTCGTTTTCTTGGTCTCATTTGATAGAATGGAAAACATATTATAGAAATGGAGGTGATTTTGATTGGTTTTACTATAAAGAGAACCTGGAAATGGAGCTCAAAGTACGGAAAATGTTTGATTTTTGCCGATGTTCAAAAGTAAACAAATGATGTCATTGTCCAATAAATGTCCCACTAGCCATTCTAATATGCAGTCATGAATGGGTTGACATTATCTGTACAATTATTACAGTATTGCAGTAGTCTGCATAACAGTAAATCCTCTATTTTTTGTTTGAATAAAAATTCAAAATAGAAAGCAAGAGTAATATCAGAGGGGCCTGGAGATGTGACTGATGAACAAAGAAAATGTTGTTTTAGAGCCAGGAAAGTCTGCATTGTTCATTCTGGACCTTATTTGAAATTGTCATATTTTTTAATTTTCGTGAAATTGGCCAAATGGCAAATTTCTGACCACATTATTGGGTAGTTGAAATCGGTAAAGGTGCAGTTTCTTGTACTCAATCAATAGAAAAAAACGGAGTTCTAAAGAAATGGCTATGAGTTTGGTCGACTGAAACAATGAAATTAGCCGAAAATAGGGCTCAAAGTGGGTGAAATCGCAGATTTGTAAATATCGCTGATGTCGCTAACTTCACGAGAGCGTAATTCCATCAGTTTTAAATCAAATTTCGATCTTTTGGTGTCATTACAACGGGAAAAGATTCTCTATCATCTCATAAGAATTTTTTTTTTTTTTTAATTTTGCGACACCAGGAGACACCTCAGGATTGGGGGTTGTGACAGTCAAGGGGTTAAGTGTGAAAATAGAAGTGGTATCAACTCAGAGTAAAAAAAAAAAAATGAAACTGAGGCAATTCTTACGTACTTCAATGCCTGTAATTCTTGGACCCCTCAAAGGAAGTTCCTGAATTCTGGTGAGGGGCTCTTGACTCAAGGAATTGAATCTGTCCTTACATTCCTTGGATTGAATGTGACTGCCCCCCACCCAATTTCCCAGCTGCTATATAACCCCTATGGGTTTAGCTTTTCCCCTAAATATAATAATAATCTAACTCCTGGACCTGCCTCTTCACTGATCGCTACTGGGTCCTCTCCCTCTCTGCTTCCTTAGCTTTGTCATACCTCTTCTTAAAACTATGTATGGTTCCTGCCTCCACTACTTCACTTGCTAGGCTATTCCACTTCCTGACAACTCTATGACTGAAGAAATACTTCCTAACGTCCCTGTGACTCGTCTGAGTCTTCAGCTTCCAGTTGTGACCCCTTGTTTCTGTGTCCCCTCTCTGGAACATCCTATCTCTGTCCACCTTGTCTATTCCCCGCAGTATCTTGTATGTCGTTATCATGTCTCATCTGACCCTTCTGTCCTCCAGTGTCGTCAGTCCGATTTTCCTCAACCTTTCCTAGTACGACATTCCCCTGAGCTCTGGGACTAGCCTTGTTGCAAACCTTTGTACTTTCTCTAACTTCTTGACGCACTTGACCAGGTGTGGGTTCCAGACTGGTGCTGCATAGTCCAGCATGGGCCTAACATACACAGTGTACAGTGTCTTGAACGATTCCTTATAAAGGTATCGGAACGCTATTCTCAGGTTTGCCAGGCGCCCGTATGCTGCAGCAGTTATTTGGTTGATGTGTGCCTCCGGTGACGTGCTCGGTGTTATGGTCACCCCAAGGTCTTTCTCCCTGAGTGAGGTCTGTAGTCTTTGTCCACCTAGCCTATACTCTGTCTGCGGTCTTCTTTGCCCCTCCCCAATCTTCATGACTTTGCATTTGGCAGGGTTGAATTCGAGATGCCAGTTTCTGGACCACATGTCCAGCCTGTCCAGGTCTCTTTGCAGTCCTGCCTCATCCTCATCCGATCTAATTCTTCTCATCAACTTCACATCATCTGCGAATAGGGACACTTCAGAATCTATTCCTTCCATCATGTGGTTCGCATATATCAAAAATAGCACTGGTCCTAGAACTGACCCCTGTGGGACCCCGCTCGTCACAGGCACCCACTGTGATACCACTTCACGTACCATGACTCGTTGTTGCCTCCCTGTACTCACCTAATTGTGGTTGCAGGGGTCGAGACTCAGCTCCTGGCCCCTGTGTGTGTGTGTGTGTGTGTGTGTGTGTGTGTGTGTGTGTGTGTGTGTGTGTGTGTGTGTGTGTGTGTGTGTGTGTGTGTGAGGTGTGTGTGTGTGTGTGTGTGTGTGTGTGTGTGGTGTGTGTGTGTGTGTGTGTGTGTGTGTGTGTGTGTGTGTGGTGTGTGGTGTGTTGTGTGTGTGTTGTGGTGTGGTGTGTGGTGGTGTGTGTGTGTGAGGTGTGTGGTGTGTGGTGTGTGTGAGGTGTGTGTGTGTGAGGTTTGTGTGTGTGAGGTTTGTGTGTGAGGTTTGTGTGTGAGGTTTGTGTGTGTGAGGTTTGTGTGAGGTTTGTGTGTGTGTGTGAGGTGTGGTGTGTGTGAGGTGTGTGTGTGTGAGGTGTGTGTGTGAGGTGGTGTGTGTGTGTGAGGTGTGTGTGTGTGAGGTGTGTGTGTGTGAGGTGTGTGTGTGTGTGAGGTGTGTGTGTGTGAGGTGTGTGTGCGTGAGGTGTGTGTGCGTGAGGTGTGTGTGCGTGAGGTGTGTGTGCGTGAGGTGTGTGTGCGTGAGGTGTGTGTGCGTGAGGTGTGTGTGCGTGAGGTGTGTGTGCGTGAGGTGTGTGAGAGGTGTGTGTGTGTACTCACCTATTTGTGGTTGCAGGGGTCGAGACATAGTTCCTGGCCCCGCCTCTTCACTGATTGCTACTAGGTCCTCTCTCTCTCTGCTCCATGAGCTTTATCATACCTCGTCTTAAAACTATGTATGGTTCCTGCCTCCACTACATCACTTGTCAGACTATTCCCCTTCCTGACAACTCTATGACTAAAGAAATACTTCATAACATCTCTATGACTCATCTGAGTCTTCAACTTCCAACTGTGTCCCCTTTGTTTGTGTTCCATCTCTGAAACATTCTGTCTGTCCACCTTGTCAATTCCTTGCAGTATTTTGTATGTCGCTATCATGTCTCCCTTAACTCTCCTGTCTTCCAGTGTCGTCAGGCCGATTTCCCTTAACCTTTCTTTGTAGG